GTTGGGGGGGGGGGGGGGGGGGGGGGAGTGGCTCTTCTTGGGTCTGCTGCCGACTTCTAGCTCGGTGCTTCTGTCTTTCAGAGCCAATCAGTTTTCAAGGAGGAACAGGGTGGGAGATTAAGATACAGCTTTCCTAAGTCCCAGACTCTCCAGAACATTGTTGTTCTAAGACAGAACTCTGCTTTAGGGTGATCTGGGAGTGTCTAATGTAAATGTAGATTTCTGGGTCTCACTGGAGATGTGGGAAGGGGTGACTCAAGAATCTCTATTATAACGATGATTCCAACATTGCTCGCCAATTTGAACACTTATCTAGAAGGTGGGAAGCACCTTTGCTTGTTTTTGCTGTCCAGTTCCAGGTCAGGACACCTGCCGAGGCTGGAGCTCGCATTATTTGTGTCATCTAAATGATGCTGCAGATGGCCCCTTCCATGTTTACCTCCAAATCTGAGTTTAAATAAGTTAGAATCATCTATCTCAAAGTACACCCCACACACCCCCAATTTAAACCCTTTGTTTTAAAGACGGAAAACAGGCCCAAGATTATAGAGGGTCAGGACTGGAATCCAGGACTGGAGTCTGTAAGGCCTCTAATTTCCCCAGGCCCCCTCCAGGGAATTGTGGGCACAGGGAGTGGAGGGAGCCCGCTCAGAAAGGCCCCTGTACGACGGCCCGCAGGGTGGATGGCGAGGCTGGTGAGCATGACGGAGCTGGAGGACCGCCTGCAGTGCCCCATCTGCCTCGAGGTCTTCAAGGAGCCCCTAATGCTGCAGTGCGGCCACTCCTACTGCAAAGGCTGCCTGCTGTCCCTGTTCTGCCACCTGGACTCCGAGCTGCGTTGCCCTGTGTGCCGGCAGGAGGTGGACGGCAGCCGCTCCCCGCCTAACGTCTCCCTGGCGCGGGTGATCGAAGCCCTGGGACTCCCGCGGGACCCGGAGCCCAAGGTCTGCGCGCACCACCGGAACCCGCTCAGCCTCTTCTGCGAGAAGGACCAGGAGCTCATCTGCGGCCTCTGCGGCCTGCTGGGCTCCCACCAGCACCACCAGGTCACGCCGGTCTCCACCGTCTACAGCCGCATGAAGGTGGGCCCCGAGGCTGCTGGGGGGCGGCAGCCAGGTCACCCGGGGGGCCCACAGAACCCAGCCTCTGCGCTCTCTGGCGCCATCGCCCGGCGCAGAAGGGTCCTGGGACAGCGAGTTCTCTCCAGCCCTGTCCTGGAGCAGAACTCAAGGCATTCATTCCGTCCCTCACGTTCTGAGCAGCTGCTGGGGATTAAAGTGGTTCTAAAGCTGGAGAGCCCCTGCGTCACGTGCCAGCCCGTCTCGGCTTTGTTGGTCTTTGTAGCTCTGGTTGGTTTCTTGAACGCTCCTGGGACTGCACTCTCAGGCACATGAGGACAGGGACTCTGTTTTGTTCCCTGGGGTATTTTTGTGCCTGGAGCCGTGCCTGGCTTAGTAAACGTTCAAAATGTATTTGTGGAATCAATGGATTCCTGCCCTCCTGACCTTTGCCTCAGGTCTAGCAGATCGTTATTTAACATAATAATAATAATAGCAACAACAACAATAGTGATACCATCTTAGGTTAATATGTTGATCTAAGGTTGTGAAGGATTGTTATATTTTGCAAACGAGGAAACAGGCTCAGACAAGGTCACACAGCTTGGCTGGCAGAGCTAGGACTCAAACCAAGGCCAGTTTTCTTCGCACTGCCAACAGATCAAGAAAGGGCAGGAAGGGCACTTGGAAGTGAATTATTATAGGGTTTGTGGCCTGGTATTGGAGGGGAAGTGGGCATACACTCGAGGAATGACAAAAAAAAATAGTGAGGTGGTCAGGAAAAGAAAGAACATGGAGATCTGCAGGCAGGCGGCTAAGTGCTCTGGGCAGCATCTCTTTGCTCCTTCAACCCTGGGAGACAAGTAGGAAACAGGCAGGGCCAGCCAGGTCATCCGCCAGCCCCGCCTCCCCACAGGCATTTACTGGGCATCTCGTCTGTGCTAGGTGATGTGCTAGTGCCCATCATACAGCACGCTGCCCTGCGGGAGTTCACAGTCTGGATGTCTGGTGTGTCAGGGGCTGTCGTCAAAGTTAAATAGTCTCCAGGTGAGACTTCCTGGAACATGGCTCCTGCATGGTCTCAGGTGGGCAGGGACGGCTTCCTGGAGGAATAGACTACAGAACCAAGACTTGAATCACAAGGAGGACGAGATAAGAAAAGAAGGGGAGGAAAAGCATTCCAAGTGTACGAGATAAGAAAAGAAGGGGAGGAAAAGCATTCCAAGAAAGCACTGCCAGAAATGATGAGCACACACACATACACACACAATGACAGCACATGCAAAAGCCCAGGAGGCAAACAGCATGGCACATTTGAGGATTTATAAGTCATTGCATTAAGCCCAAGGGAGAGCGAGATGGGAGCCAGATGGGGCAGGTCATGGAAAGACCTGTGTGACACGTGTTGAGATTTGTAGTTTGTTCAGAGAACCATGGTGGTGTGGTTTGGGCACTGGAAGTTTTTAAGCAGAGTTGTGATGGAGTCCTATCCCTTTGCCAAAGGGGTAAATTGGAGAGCAAGGCTGGGGATAAGAGATTGGGAGTCAGAGTCTGCAGAGTGATAAGGGAAGACACTGATGATGCTCCAAGGAGCACCAGGGTTTAAGGTTTGGGGAGGGAGAGAACCCCGAGGAAGGGGACAGAAAGAATCAACAGAGGAAGCAGGGACACTGGCTGCATGTGGCTTCCTGGAAATCAGAGGAACAGAGCATTTTAACCAGAACAAGATCACTTGTGTGAAATGTCTGCTGAGGATTCAAAAGAGTGTCAGCTTTAACAGTAAGAACTGGTTACCTTGGCAAGAGTAGTTTTGGGGAAGTGTGGAAGGAGGACATCCAATTGTAATATAATGAAATGGAACCCATGTTTTATTAGCAGGTGGCTGCCCGGGAGAGAAGGAAACACTTGGGAGCTTGCTCATCATTTCTGGCAAAGAGTCAGGGCCCAGCTTGGGTCCTGGTTTTGGATGTGGGTTTTTTTTGTAATCCCAAGATTCTTCTGTGTGATGTGACTCAATTATGTTTCTTTATCAGATCCCTGTTATGCTTTCCTGTTTTCTCCTATTGATTGAGATCTTGAGATACTTTATTTTCACAATTGTGTTTCCCCTCACTGTGGCCCAGTTGCTGAGAAAGAACTAGTCCCATATCTCTCTGCCTCATGAGGGTTACCACTGGAATGCCCTTTCTTGGGTTGCTGTGAAATTTTATGCCTCCTTATTCAGAGCAAGGTCTCTGTATCCATTTATTCTTTACCCAGCTCCCTTTCTGAAAGGCTCTTGTGGGTGACTTCTCTGTGGGAACCTTCTAAGCGAGAGTCAGTACACACCATGGGCATAAACCCACAGGGCCCTAGTCAAGTAGTGCAGCCTAGATGGTGGTCTAGGTGGTCCTGCTTGGACTCCTAAGGATAGATCAGATTTGGGGCCAGAGCATCCCAGGAGAAGTGAGTTTATTTCACCCTTGGGAGCCCCTAAATCTAGGCTCAGATCAAACCTGCCAGGGATGGATTCAGATCTTTATAAGGTATTGGGGACTCACCAGGTATAACCTGGGCCACCACATGCACTACTGGCCTCACTTGGGGACAGGCCTTTTGTAATGACTCTTGATCAAATGCCCACTGATTCTGGACCTCCTGGTGACTGGAGAGTTTACCTGGTGGGTACCCTACAGGTAGCATTCCATGCAGGGAGTATTGGCTTGAGACCTGCAATCACCTCTCTTGAATGTTGTGTGGTGACTTCCAGGTGGCTGTAACATGTTTAGCATCTCTCTCCATGTCTTGGAGAGGGATGACTT